ACATACAATCACCTAAGAACATTGCGGATGTGGTTCGGATGCAGATGCGAAGTAAGTGGGCGTGGATTCGATGCGGATGATCAAACTGTTATTTGCGCACGGCTCTAAATACTGCACTTCACGCATTATAGGTGTCATGAGAGCCAGTATGAAGAGGGTGCCAGAAGGCAGATGACAAAGAAGTCAGCAAGAGGGCTGAGTGTGAGGGGTCTTGTGCTCGGATTGCCGATTGATGTGCGGGCTCACCTGCTATGTATCTTATCTTTAACCCCAATTAAACGCCTTATTTTAGCCAGTCTCGTCCCGACATGGTGGCAGCGGTGGGATGCTGTGCAACACGGTTGCGAGGAGAAGTCAACTAGCCACAACAGCAACCGCTCCGGGGAGGCGGCTGTAGGTGTCCTCCCAAAGGTACGGGAACACTCAGAATCCGAAACTTTGCATTGCCACATTAAGGTATGTCTGCAACGACCATGTCGACCGGTAAGCGATGGCCACTGGGCAACAAGCTGCGCAACAACCAACGCCGCTAAATCCTTTTGTTGTTGAGTTGCCGAAAAAAATTGGATTTCCGACATCTTGAAGACTGGAAGCGTTGGTTCACCTCATGGCAGAGATACGGTACCGGGTCATTTCTGGGTTAAGAAAACAAGACAAGGTAACCCAAGTGAACATGTTAGTTTACGCTATGGACCACGAGGCAGAAGACGTCCTGACGTCGCTGAAACTGACGGATGCCCAGAAACATGACTTCAGCAGACACTTTGTCCCTTGGACTAATGTCATTTATGAACGTGCAAAATTCAACAGGCAAGAAGTGCGCGAAACAGTCAACGCCTTTCTGACAGATCTCTACAAGCTGGCAAAGGTATGTGCATACGGCGACCTAAAAGAAGAGCTAATTAGAGACTGACTCGTCGTGGGATTTGTCGACATTAGCTGAGTGAGCAGCTTCAGCTCAACCCTGAACTATAGTTGGAGACGGCGATCTCCAAGGCTCACAATTCGAAGACGGTGAAACAGCAGCTCAAGGAACTGTGACCACAGGCACAGCCGAATGCGATAGCAGAAAAGCTCCACTCCTCTGTGCAGCGAGCCAAAAACAAGAAGCAGCTATACTAGTCCGCAACAACCAACAGAACCAAGCTTGCAGATGGCATGGTTCCACGCGCCCACACTCCTGCGGCAAGTTCCCCGCTGTCGACATGACATGCAATAGGTGTGGAAAAAAAAGACACTTCGTGCCAATATGCCTTTCCACGAAGAACAAAACCCAATACAGCCAGAGTCAGCACCACGCCGCACTCGAAGAGGTTTTCTTGGGTGAAGTAACAGATCAACTCGGATCAGAACCAAGGAGGATCACAGCTTGTGTCAACGGCTCCCCTGTAGAGTTCAAGGTGGACAAGGGAGTTAACGTCACGGCCATCATGTCCAGGGTCTACAACAAGTCGGTCATGGGACCACTCGGCAGGCCTACGAAGGAACTCCTGGGGCCTGGCCGAGCCAAGATTCCTATTGTGGGACAATTTGAGGCGACCCTGAGGTGGAATGGACGATTGTGCCAGGAGCAGGTGTTCGTAGTGGACAAGCTTCACGGCGTGCTTCTGGACCGTCCGGCGATCAAGTCTCTACGAGTCCTGTGTAGTCGTCGGTTGTCGAGGAATCCGAGGAAGGGATAACAACACAGCCCACATTTTCAGAGACTACCACAAGCTGACCGCGGGTCTCGGACTACTGAACACTGGCTACAAGGTAGCTCTGCTTCCTAATGCCACACCGTATGTGGCAACGTATCCGAGGCGTGTGCCTCTTCCAATGCTTCCAAGTGTCAAGCGGGAGCTGGAGCGGATGGTGAGCGTCGGAGTCACCGCAAAGACTGACCATGCAACTGAGCGGTGTGGACTGATTGTGGCCAGAAAGAAAAACAGAGAACTATGCATCTGTGTCGATTACAGTGGCCTGAACAGCTGCATTCTGAGGGAGCGAGTCTTAATACCAACTGTCGACGAATGCCTTAGAGAACTGGCAGGAGCACCCTGGTTCAGTAAGCTCGACGCCAGAGCGGCCTACTGGCGAGTCCCACTGGCAGCCATATCGCGAGAATACACAACCTTCTTGACGCCATGCGGTAGATTTCAGTTCCTCCGACTACCATTTAGTATCTCCACTGCACCTGAGTTCTTCCAGCGTGAGATGCTTAGAGTGCTCGAAGGTCTCGGGGGCCAAGCTCGCCTCCAAGACGATGAGAAGAACATGACTCAAACTTGCATCGAGTACTCAAGCACCTGCAAGATGCGGGCATAACTCCCAACAAGGACAGATGCGTTTTTCGCAAACAGTCTGTAAAATTCCTCGGACATGTCGTCTCGGCCAACGGGGTCAGTGTGGATCCAGTAAAGATCAAGGCTCCCACTCAACTGACGCCGCCAGGAGATGTATCGGACGTCAGGTCGTTCCTGGGTATGGCAAACCTCCTGGCCAAATTTCTCCCTGGACTCTCTCAACTCACGAAACCGCTTCGTGATTTGCTTCAACATGATGCTGATTGGTGCTGGGGAGAGCCTCAACAAAAAAAGCTTCGACTTCCGTCAAAAAAGCACCGATGACCACACCGGCACTGGTACACTAAGATCCTCAAAGTCATCTCACAGTCTCAGCGGATGCATCCTCATACGGCCTTGGGGCTGTCCTCCTTCAGGAGACGCCCGGAAGATGACTCCCTGTCGCCTATGCATCTTGGTCACTCTTAGAAACCGAACAAAGCTACACACAGATTGAAAACGAGGCACTGGAAATCACATGGGCATGCGAGCATTTCCGCCAGTATTTACTTGGTTTGCAATTCCCCATAAAAATCAACCATAAGCCGCTCATGCCTCTGTTGTCATCAAACGCATAGATAAGTTAAGTCCACAATTGCAGCGTCTGCAAATGAGACTGTTGGAATTTGACTACATGATCTCCCACATTCCCGGAAAGGAGATCCACACAGCTGACATACTCTCACGGAAGCCTCAAGCAATATCGGACAGCAGCAGTCCAAAAAGTCTTAAAGTAGCTTTGACAGGATACGACCTACTCAGCACAGAACTTTTACCGGCCTCTACCAATATGCGGAGAGAATCAAAGAACAAGTGAGATCCAACTATTGTGACAGTCAGGAACTATTGTTCTATAACGTGGCCCAGGGGCGTGTCACTGCCACTTGCAGTACAGAAATATGCCAATGTGTCTCAAGAGCTCACGGTTGTTGAAGGAGTTCTCCTTAAGGGAAGTTGCATCGTCATCCTGCCAAGCATGCAGGACGAGGTGCTGGAAAGCCTGCACACAGGTCATCAGGGCGTAGGTCGTCGCAGAGCTTGAGCCAGTCAACCAGTTTGGTGGCCCGGCATTAGCAGAAGTGTTCCAAGACTACATCTCAAGATGTCCAGGCTGCCAGACATACCAAAAGCCTGGCACAAAGCCCCTGCTACACACTCCACTCTTGAATCATCCATGGGAAGTGGTATGTGCAGACCTCTCTTACGAAAATGGCGAGTACTACCTCGTGGTGGTAGACTATTTCTGTAGGTTCTCTGAACCTAAGAAATTAAAAAGGACAACCCAAGACATCACACAAAAACTCAGCCAGATGTTTGTCCGTTTCAGAGCACCCGCCATCATACGGTCCGACAATGGGCCCCAATTCGCTTCCGCCAAATTCAAAAAGTTTGCGAAGGAGTGGGGATCACGCCATGTAACAAGTAGCCCATATTATGCACAGAGCAATGGGGCAGTGGAAAAGACCGTACAGACAGCGAAGCAGCTGCTTAAGAGATCGCCGGACATCCACAAGGCACTGCTTGCTAAACGGGATACCCGTCACGAGAGGCGGACGAAAATTACGACCTCCAAGCCGCCTCAACCTGTAGGTGCTGGGAGTCTTCAAAGAAAGGGGGGTGTCGTCAGAGCCACAGTACGAAGAGGGCACCACAAGGCAGATGACAAAGAAGCCAGCAAGAGGACTGAATGTGAGGGTCTCGTGCTCGAAACACACCAACGCAAGGGATGCACGCCGACTGACGTGCGGGCTCGCAGCCATGTATCTTACCTTAACCCAAATTAAACGCCTTATTTTCGCCAGCCTCGTCCCGACAATAGGCTTTCGAGATAAAGACCACTGCCAAATTTTTTATATACAAACAAGCTAAGAAGTCTACTATTTTATTAAAAATCAACCGAGCAGCATCAGCCGACCCGACAACATGGCAAGCAGTGACTGTCGCCACGCTTTGACAAGCTCATGGTCCCTCAAAGCAAGAGATGGTCATTCCCATGACCAGCACCAACTGATACAGCGCGCTTCTTTCTCACTAAGCATGTCTTGTCTTCTACAGGTGCCTAGTTTCCCCCGTATACTTTTTTTGAACTGCTACTGTTCCATTAACTTGGGGTAAAGATGGTAATGAAAGCATAAGGTCAGCTTATGGTTGGGAAAACCACGAGGCTGCGGGTAAATGACACCACACTAAAAAGTCTCTATGGTGTTTGATGGAGTAGAGTGGAACGACACAACACTAAAAGTCACATTTAGGTTATAGAGGCTTCTTAGTGTCGTGTCGTTTACCCGCAGTCTCGGGGTTTTTTCAACCATGTGCAATGTACACCAGCTCGTTTGCGCCCTTACATTTTGGTCAGCTTTGCTGACAGTTTCTTCAACCTCCCGTCAATGTTTTTTTGTTTGTTCTTCGTACAACGGAGCTGTGCAGCTAGCTTTCAATTCCCAGGCTGCCTCACACATGCTATGAGAGGGAGTGCACTGTTTTGCAGAATGATCTATTACATTTTCAGAAACAACTGACTTATGCAGCTAACAAACCAAAGCATCCACAACCATGGTAGGCCATGACTGCCGGCCTCACTGGTCACCAAGAAATATGTTGCTACCCCAGCTGGTAAATGCCCTAAGTCTACACAATGTGAGGCTAAGACAGAGCAACAAACAATCAATACTCAACTGCATCATTTGCCAGTTGCTTTCTTCCCTTTCCTTGGCCATTTTCCTTAAGTGTGCAAGGGTGCTCCTTGCAGATGCCTGGACACAAGGGTGAACCACATAATCAGCAACTGTGACTGAAAGGCAGCACTTTCCGATCCATGCAAGTTGCTCACCTCTTTCTGCGTGTAGGTACTGATGTCAAGGCCACTGGGTGCGAGATATGCAAAGGCACGATCAATACCTGCAACAAAACTATTGAACAGAAACAAAAAAGGTGCCTCAGCATAACCTGCTTCCTGTTCCGTCTAAATATAATATTTAGGCTAAAACATTTCCACTCTACTCCATCAAACACCACAGAAATCATGAAGGAGTTACTCGGTCACTCGTCTGGCACAATCATGTGGTTCAGTGTCAACGAAGGGGTCATTCACCATGTACTGAAAATCTGTCGAGGAGTGCACAAATAATTAAAGAAACACAAGCTTGAGGGTGTTTTTGATGTTTGCTCTTCAGACCTTGAAATGCAGCCTAAATACTGGAAGTACCCTTTTTTGAGGAAAACAAAAATCAACAACCAGTATACAATATAAGAGTCCCAATATGTCTATAAACGGAGCCTCAGCAGTGTTGTGCATCATCGAATGAATTTCAGTAAACATTTGCAGCTAACATGCACACAGTTAACTGGGACAATGGCAGGAACATGATTTTGTCTTGCGATTGAATTGGTGCCAGAAGTTTGGCTGCGGACGAGCTATGACCAAGATGGCTATGTAGGTGAAGAAAGAGAACAACAAAAGTATCATCTTAAAAAGCATGCACAAAACTCTTACGCATCTCGGCCTTCGTCCAGAGCCTCTCTGGATGCTTCGTCCAAGTCAGGGGATGATGAGATGGTTGCCCTAGCAGATAAATAATAATAACAATAAGATAATAGCCCAGGCGAGCTTATATAGAAAGTTGCCTACATGTACAAAGCACGAAACAGTTAGCACAAAAAAAAAAAATGCAATTGCCAGGTTTTTTTTTTTTTTTCTTTTTTTGCACAGTGGAATTATCTTGATTAAATTTGACAAAGCAGTGGAATGTGACTATCCAGCATGCCAACCTCAAATGTAAACTTTAGTGCTTGTCATGAAATGTTTGGTAAAAATCCGATAGAGTGGCGATCTCATACTCGTGCTTTGTCACGCAGTGTACGACTGCAAGCATGGCAACCTAGATGGTGGTACTTGTGTGCAAGCTTGTGAAGTGTGCACATGAAAATGACTCTGGCAAGCTGGCAACTGCACGTGCTCACCCAGACAAACAGGGGCATGGCACGAGCGAAAAGAAGTATGATGATGACTTTACTTCAAAGCTAAGATTGTGAACTAAGTGACAAGGGACGGCCTCACAAGTGTCACCGATCGCCAGTATAAGGTGTTTTCACATGACGTCAATCTGCCATTTTGTTGTCAGTTTGTTTTTCTCAAACAAATTTATTGATTTGAAGGATTACATCGCAACTTGTTGAGATGTCAGTGCAGTAAGACTCATAAGCTTCTGTGCACTATGTTTTTGATAGTTCACATAAACCCCTGGAATGCTCGCCTTTGGCACACTCCAGAAAGCTCACAAAGACAAAATGGTGGATGAAATTAGGTCAGTGAAAACACACTATAGTAGGCCGAATCGCGGACTAAGGCGTGTATTGCTGTGGTCGTGCGTCACTACCAACAGCCATTGCTTGACACTCACTATATGACAAACCATGAGAAAATACAACTTTCCTGATTTGTTGGGTGTTTCTCGACAATGAAACCCTTATGGCTTTTCTGTCGGGATTGTGCCAAACATTTTGAGTTTCAACAAGTATGTTTTTGAACTTTTATAAATCAAAATATTTTTCGTGGTCAATGGTAGACAGCTGTGACCCCTGTTGGAAAAAAACAAACAAACTGGAGTGCAGTTTAATGAGATAAGGGTTGTCGAGTCGGCTGCGCTATCTTTGTTATGTGGCCTACGTCCACTCCTGGGAAACTGTTGCTACCATTAAACACTAAATGACAGCCGAGTTTATTTGAACATGCACTAAATGACAATCTTTGTTTTTATAGATTACTGACTAGAGATCTTGCACCAGAAAGTTGTATGTGTGCCAGTGATCTGTGCCATGTACAAAAGTAACATTTGCTGTGTTCTGTGGCAAAGGATTGATTGTACAGTGATGGCCAAAAGAAATACAAACAACAGAGCATGTGCCTTTCTGAGCATGCAGAACCTTCTAGCAGGACTTGCTGGTACTTCTCTGGCGAGATTTTTATCACCGTTTCCTGCCATGGCATTATCTTCACTGATGGCCGTGGGTTGGCACTCATTGTTTTGATGGTAGGCAATATCTTGAATTGCTACTCATCATAATCGAAGAGCCCGTCAGTGGTCGTGCGGAAACGGGAGCACACAAAATTGAGCATTGTCATCTCCAGTGCAGAATGATCTCACTGGTTGTTTTCTGTTTCAGGCAACGAAAGTCGTCTTTTATTGCAACGTAATGACTGTATTGATGGTGCACAAGCCCACGGTGCCAGTGAATTATTGGAGAATGACACTCCTTCTAAACAAAATTGGATGAGCTTCAGTCGAATGACTAAGCGGAATCTGTCAAGAAAATATGCAGCTCCTGCAACTGTACAATCAGTTGCTACGGTGCCACAAATTCCTATGAAGGAGCGGCACCTTTCACCAAGACGACCACTGAAAAGCACTGTGCAAGTTTAAAGAAACACTGACACCCCCCCAAAATAAAAAGATTAATTTTTTGTTATTTTGCCAGAGTGACACATATATTTTTAATAAAGTAAAAAAATGCAACTGCTCGAAACCGAAACTGGACTGGGAGGAAGAAGAAATATAGAGGAGGAGAAAGATACCAAAAATCACGTGGCTGTACAACTTTTTTTTTTCTTCAATAAACGTATTTGCAGGTTTTTAGAAGCCACAAAAAATGGGTATCATATTTTTTGCCCATTTCTAGTATTCAGTGTGTGCCTTCGATGACCCACGACATTGAACATCTTTGAAGGTGGCGTCTAAACCATAGAAAACGGCACGTGACCATGGAGAAGAGAGTGAGCATGGCTCAAACAGACCAGTTCTAGGTCAGCGGTTTTCAGGTGGAAAGAAAACAAATTTCGAGCCGCAAATTGTGTTCTGGGTAGTTGGGTTCTCATATGGCATGTACAAATAAAAACCTTGGTGAGCACAAATACCCTGTCAGTGTCCCTTTAAGGCAGCACGTTGTTGGCATCAATCACAAAGATAAAATTTGTTGCGATTAATGAAGAAAGATAACCGGTTATGTCAGGTTGGTGCAATTATTTTCCTCATCATGTATTTTGGAGTAGTTTCGCACATTCTCTTTATACACTGCCCTCATCCGCCGCTATATGGCACTCCAGGTGTCGTTCGGTCACCGCTTCGTTGTTTGTACTTCTTTTGACCATGAGTATGGGCATCGCAAACTTTTGTCGAACCCAAATTTCACCGTCGAACCCCTTTATACTTTTTGCAAGTTCGACGAAGTTCAACTTATGGATGGTGATGCCCGGCTTCTAAACAAAGATTTCGAATTTTGGGAAACAAATGACTTAGAAAGTAGTTTACTTGGCAGTTTGATATCTTAGACCAGTGGTTCTCAACTATCAATGTTTCGCGGACCCCTCGTGGATCGGCGGAGATGGTGGAGAATCCCGTTCGTGATGAGGGGAGGTGAAATCTATAGGTTAAAGGAACACTGACACCCCGCAAAAAAATTCTTTAATTTTTTGCCAGGCGCTTCATTATGGTTGGTCGGAGGACTACCCAATTAATATTTTGCAACAGAGTAGCATATTCTTTTAATAAAGCCAAAAGACGCAACTGCTCAAAACAAAACTGAAACCCGCGCACGGAGGTCGGAGAAGTGGAGAGAAGAGTGTGAGTGGCGGAAGTCACGTGGCTACACCCAACCGTGCGTTTTTTTGTTTTCTTTTCTGCATAGCAGACGACATGCGGTGAAGAGGGAACTGTTGTTTGCCGTGCGATTCTTTTGCAGTTATGTTAGTTAAGCTCGCTCTTCTGTACTTCAAGATGAGTTGTTTTGTACACTGAGGAGTTGGGAGATGAGTAGTGAGTGCCCGTGGTGAATTTCCATGATCGGCTCCGAAAAGAATACACCCAAGATGTTGCGTGAAGAGCTTGCTCACATGTCCTGCGTCCGAAAAAAAGTGGCATTGTGCGACAGAGTTTCCGAAAGATCAACGGGATCGGGACCAGTGGCTGGCTGCAATTCCTGTATAACATTTACGGGCACCTCGGAAAGCGGACGCTACCTGATTTATATGCTCCTTGCATTTTGTGAAAAGTGATTACATTGAATTCGCAGGTGTCAAAAAGGAAATCCCGTACCATTTAATTCAGTGACGTGTCGCCCACAACATTTCTTTGTTATTTTTTCGTTGTTTATTTAGAAATGTAGACATCGGAAAATGTTTGAAAAAATAAAAAAAAAAAGCTTCACTAGGGATTGAACCCGATCCTACCGCGTGTGAAGGGGACGTCTTTCCCACTGAGCTACTGGAGCACCTCTTTGTTGGGAGATCTCCTTCCTTAGTAATAATTCAGCCAGTAAACTGTAAGTTGCAAAGCTTGCTGCCGATTTCTTTCCAGCAAAAGCACTCTGGGGCAAATTCAGGAAGCACGACGCATTGGCGACATTCGCACCTAGTAAGAAAATTGTACGCGTGCATATTCAACTCGAAGTAAACACTTCGTGTGGTGCTTGACGTTTGCGCGAGCGATGTCTTCAGCCAGGAGAAGACGGCTCGGCGACGTCTTCGTGCAAATCGGCTTGGTGGTCGGGCGTGTCGTACGGGATGACTACCAATTCTTTTGATCAGTCCCACATTCCTCTTTCAAAGGCAGACAGAATTCGCCGGTACCGCGAACGACAGTTTTGAAGTAGAGGTCCCACGCCCGTCGTCCGATGCCATCGCCGTCCAGCCCGCGAGTCCCACAATACGCGAAACGACGCACGCACAGAATGCTTCCAGTTCTTTGTGGAACTTTTTTTTTGCAATCAGCATATTTGCAGCTTTTTATAAACCACAAAAAATGTTTCATATTTTTTTCTATTTTTAATACTGAGTGTGTGCCTTCAGTGACCAACGACTTTGAATAAACTTGGTGGTCGCTTCGATACCTTAGAAAACGGCCCGTGACCACAGAAGAGAGAGTGAGCGAGACGCGAACCGGCCAGTTCTTGAACTGCGGTTTTCAAGCAGAAAGAAACCGAATTTTGAGTCGCAAATTGTGTTCTGGGTAGTTGGGCTCTCATATGTCATGTAAAACTAAAAGCTTCGGCCAGCATAAATACCCTGTCAGTGTCCCTTTAAATGTAATATTGATTTGATAAATAGATATAATTAAGGGCTAGAGTGAGGTAGACCTCCCTTACTGACATTCACACGAGAAAACTCGCCTGAAAACTGAAAGATTTCTTCTCGACCTGGAAAAAAGGTAACTTTTACTTCCGGGCTTGACTGATGAGGCAGGGCTTCGCGGACCCCTAGAATGCCTTTGCGGACCCAAAGGGTCCGTCCGCGGACCCCCGTTAGAGAACCACTGCCTTAGACCCACGTTACGGATAAAAAAACAGGGCGCAGGATGGCCAAAAAAACCCACACTTTTCGTGTAAGGCTCGTCAAATTATGAGGCGCTGGAGAAAACCAGCCTCTGTGCTAAAAAGCCCTTGAAAAGAAAAAAAAAACATTTTAACAGTCTGGGTGGGAAGCACATGTAAAAAGATTAATTTTACACACAAAAAAATTTGTAGAGCAATATTGACTGTGTGAGACGCCATTTAGTCGGCAGTCACCTCCTTTCCACTTGCATTCTCTCTCGGAATTTCGGGCACATGGAGGAGAGGTGAATCGGCTTCGCCCTGACGACCGAATGACCCGTTACGACATGGACTTTGCGGGCAGAATTTCAAATAAATCTCTCGCCGTCGATATTCCTCTAAAAATTTTTTTTACGCATAAAATTTATTTTTTGACATGCATGTCCCAACTAGGCGGTTAAAAATATATATTTTTTCTTTTTAGGTTTTTGTTTTTTTTCAAACACATTTCTTTGCTTTCTTTTTGTCCACTGAAAAACATGCGGGAAGTGCCTCAGCACGCACCTAGTATCGCTGCACCGCAGTGTTCTTCCCGCAGTAAAAGGGCTATCTGCTTTCATCGCCGTCACCATGGCAACAAACACCAAATGACCTTTTCGGACAGCGCTTGCATCACTGGGGAGCGTGTTAACCCACTCCCCCCCGCCCGCGTTCCTGCCGCTTCGCGACGGCACTCTGCGGCTGCCCATTGCAAAACTATTAAACTTTAGCTAGCAGACTGCGTCCCGAAAATCAGCGTTTGTTGCCACGGTGGCGGCAACGAAAGCATACGGCCTTTATACTGCGGAAGAACACTGCGGCGCAGTGATACGAGGTGCGTGCTGGGGCCCTTTCTGCATATTTTTCAATGGGCGGAACGCGAATAAAAAGGGTTTGAAATGAGACCTTAACGCAGAAGGCTGGTTTTCTCCAGCGCTTAAATTATTGAACAAGCCTTCCACGAAAAACATGTTTTTAGACCCGGGTTTAAAGATAGTTTTTTTTACAGCAACATGGGTCTAAAGTATCAATGTGCCGTTTATATTATACCTTATAAATCGGCCACCGATGTTTACACAATATCAAAGCAAAAATAGATACTTTTTATTTCTTTTGTTAGTAACACTGATCTCTATGACAATTGCTGGACCGTGCTTCCCTGCTTGGTTGCTGCAGCGCAAGTAAAGCCACCTCACGGCCATCTTGCTTGTAGACAAATTGCAGTTTTGCTAGTATTGCAGAGACTGGTGGCAGCGTGCTGAAGACATGTTTTCTACTCGTTCGTCGTCATTCGCCGAATAAGCTTTTTAGGACCCTGTGTAAACAATGAGACTTGCCCTTGAGACAACGTGGAAATTTTTATGAAAGCGCATTGCCACAGGAAAAAGGCACAACTCGTCAAAAGCAAGTTTCGTCGGACTCACGGCATGATAAAGCCTCCTTGGCACGCCAAAATGCTCCGTCTCTGCACCTTCGCGCGCTTGGATATCAATCAACAATTAAGGTTCGATGCCGTGTGAATGTATTCTGCGAGTGCAATGTGTATGAAGCCCTATGTGCTTCTGAAGCAGCGTTTTACTTTACTCTGACAACTGTATTTGTAACTGGCGGCAGGCACTCACAGTCCAGAAATGAGCCTGATCCAGTGTCCAGTGGCGACGGAAGGGGGACGGGGGGGAAGGTAAGTCTTTTTTTTTTGTCGTTAGACGGTCTACAGAATACCAAGCAACAGCTCCTTATCACTGATCAGGGGCCCGGCTCATATCAAAGGTGACATCAAGCTTGAGAGCAGCTCGCCCAGTTGTGATTGGTCAACAGAGTGCACACGACCCTATGGGCTGCGCTTCAAAGATTTTCAATTGTGCCATCTTGTGTTTTTGCCTCTGAACACCAGCCTTGCTCCACAGCATTGCTCTGTATGTGCTGCCATGCAAACCACTAGAACAGAATTGGAACATAGCCATGGGTAATAGTGCATAAGAGCAACCGTACAGAAATTTTTCCCCCTTTATTGATAGCAAATCGCCGGAACAGCTGGACAATCCAGAACTCCATGGCCGATATATGATGCAAAGACATATCTATGCACGACACACCGTCAAAGCTTTGCCGCGGTGCCGTTTCTTGATCAGTACCAAAGCATGCGAAGGTACAAAGACACAGCACTTTGGTGTGCCAAGGAAGCTTTAATCATGCCGTGAGACTGGCGAAACTGGTTCCGAGTTGTGCCTTTTTCCTGCAGCACTACGTTTTCATAAAAATTTCCACATGTTCTCAACGGCAAGTTTCAACGCTTACACAGGGTATTAAAAAACTTCTTAAGCGAATGACGACAAACAAGTAGAAAATGTGTCAACATGCTGCTGACACCCTCTGCAACGCTAGCAAAACCGCAATTTGTCTAAAAGCAAGATGGCCGCCCGATGGCTTCACTCGCGGGAGCGGGAAGCGTAATCCAGCAATTGTCACAGAGGTCAGTGGTTATTCATGTGAACCATTGATGCAATACCACTGATCTCAATGACAATTGCTGGATCGCGCTTGCCGCTCCCGCAAGTGAAGCCACCGGACGCAACCCCACTGGGATACGATTTCCCGTTTTGCTAGCCTTTTGCTGCGGTTTTCCAGCGGGCTGCAGACACGTTTTCTACTCGTTCGTCGTCATTCGCCGAGGAAGTTTTTTGAAGACACTGTGTATTGTTGAGACTTGCCATTGTGAACACGTGGAAAATTTTACGAAAGTGCAGTGGTGCAGTGTCGCAGGAAAAAGGCACAACACGTCGAAAAGAAGGGCTGGCGGCATGTTCAAAGCTTCCTTGGCACGCCGAAGTGCCGTGTCTCTGTGCCTTCGCGCGCTTGGATACCGACCAAGAACCGACGCCGTGTGAATGTGTTTAGCGAGTGCAATGTGCGTGAAGCCGTATCAAAAGGTACAACTCGTCGAAAACGTGTCGCCGGTGTCGCGGCGTGATCAAAGCTTCCTTGGCACGCCGAGTGATGCATCTTTGTGCCTTCGCACGTTTGGATACCGGTCAAGAACTGACGCCGCGCCAAAGTTCTGAACGTGTGTCGCGCGTAGATGCCTTTAGATCATTTATATATATCGGCCACGGAGTTCTGGATCGTCCAGCTGTTCCGGTGAGTTGCTATCAATAAAAGGGGGAGATCTGTAAGTGTTCTTATGTACTATATTAACCATCGCTATGTCCCAAATCTACTCTAATAGATTCCGTGGGAGCACGAATAGGGCAACGTTGTGGAGCCAGGGGGGTTTTCGAAAGCAAAAGTACAAGACGGCGAGAATGAAAATCTTTGAAGCGTGGCCGATATGGTCGTGTGCAATCTGTTGACCAATTACAATTAGGCGAGCCGCGCTCAAACGTCAAGTGCAATTAAGTAGGTTGATAATAAGCCAGCACTGATCAGTGATGAGGAGCTGTTGTGCACGGTATTGTGTAAATCGTCTAAGGACGAAAGAAAGACGTACCTTCCCCCCCATCTTCCGTCGCTAGTGGACGCTGGATTAAGCTCGTTCCTAAACCGCGAGGGGAAAAGACGCTGATCCAGAGGCACGAACAGCTTCACGCACATTGCACTCGCTAAACACATACACACGGCGTCGGTTCTTGGTCGGTATCCAAGCGTGCGAAGGCACAGAGACACAGCACTTCGGCGTGCCAAGGAAGCTTTGAACACGCCGCCAGCCCTTCCTTTCGACGCGTTGTGCCTTTTTCCTGCGACACTGCACTTTCGTAAAATTTTCCACGTGTTCACAACGGCAAGTCTCAACAATACACAGAGTCTTCAAAAAACTTCTTCGGCGAATGACGACGAACGAGTAGAAAACGTGTCTACAGCACGCTGGAAAACCGCAGCAAAGGCTAGCAAAAACGGCAAATCGTATCCCAAGCGAGTGAAGTCCGGTGGCTTCACTTGCGCTGCAGCGAACAAGCGGGGAAGCGCGATCCAGCAATTGTCATAGAGATCAGTGTGCAATACCCACAACGAATATTGCACTTCCCCTCTGCCAGGTGGCGGCAGCTTGTTTGCAAATTTTCGCGAGTGCACAATAAAGTCGAACTTAAATCGAACTTTAGTTGAACATGACGCTGGAGGTTCGAAGACTCGACCTTGGTCGAACTCGAACCTGGGCAGGTTCGACCATGCGTACTTCCACGGCCACGATCATTATCTTGTTGCCACCACGAGAAAAGTACAGACGGGCACATTTCCGTCACTTTAAATGACTGCACTGGGTGCTGTGGACGGGAAGTTTTCTTTTGAGCTAAAGTCAAAACCCCAGTGACGAACGTAAGCGTGCCGTTGGTTTGACCGAGCGGTCACTTATTTCGCAAGGAAAGCCTTCTAATTGGAAAGCCTTCAGAGTTTCTTCCGTACTCCTGTGCCGCATGATGTCAGGCTATGATTAACAACATGACCGACTACAAAAGAGATCAGTGGCAAGGACTCTTGCTGTGCGAAGACGCGGCAAACCGTGACGCACTCTGCGCAAAGCAGCAGACGGTCTGCAGCCTAGCTACACCATTGGTGTGTGCAGGCACGTATCCAGAAAAAGTGGGGGAGGGGGGCGCCTTCTCCCCTATTTCCCGAAATCTTATTGGGCTGATTAATAAAACGATGAAAAAATTATACACTTGCCAATGATTATCGATGAGGTCCTTGAGCACAATACTGGTGGATTCAGCCAGAGGGTGTTTAGGCTTATTCGAGGTGCGTACCGGTGATTTCAGCGACCCGGCCAGAACATGTTTCGCGTTCTTTTTCACCGCCTTCCTTCTTGCCATGCTTTGCTGGGCTTAGATCAGATATAAATTATGAAATGATGTAAACAAAACGCTGAGACCACGCACCGCCGCCGAAACCACGGCGCACGAACCAATACGAAATACGGATTTGGATTCGGATCGATGCGGCGATCTTTTAAAAATCCGAAACTAGTTCCCCAGGGTTGCTTTTGCAGAAAATGTTATCCACTTTAGTAGACCGCGTTCCTTTTAACCTGAAAGCGTTAAAATAATTTAAATGCTTAATAATAATAATTAAATAATAATAATAATTTTATTCCAGCATTTTATTTTTTTTTATGTCAGACTGGTCTGTCGAAGCCAGGGTTGGCTTGTGTGACACACGACCCAGCAATGATGTTAGCCAATGTGAGTGGTAGACGGGCGCCCGGGCGGCGTATAAGCAAACCATATCCCGTACAGCACCTGGCCACGCCCCCTTGTCACGTGACATGACGTCACTTCCGCCAAGGCAATTTGTCATGTCACGTGACCTGACGTCACTTCCGCTCTAAACCGAAACCAGTTGTTTTATTGGTTAGCGAATTGTCACGTGACATGACGTCACTCGCGCCGCTGTGGCAAGGTAAACATGGCGCCCGCCGCCGCCTGAAGCACGAATCGTACGCGGTCGATCATCGGTGCAGTCGCGGCTGAAGCCAGAAACGCTTGAGACGGGAAGCCTACGTGATCGACGCAGTCGCGGCTGAGACGCTGTGAACGCGGTGACGCGAGGGACTCAACACTTGGTGACGCAACTACGCGACGCCCGCAGTATGCGACGTCTCGCATCGTGCTTCTGCACAGGAGTGCGTAAAAGGCGCAAGTACTTCTCTTAGCGTTCTCAACTCGTCGCTTAAAAAGAGCGAAGCAAGGTTACTACCAACGCCTACCGCTGGTTTCCGAAGTCGAGCCTTCGGTTTCCAACGTCGGGTCTCGATGTCGCCGCTATTCTTGCCGCGCAGGTTCGTCGCCGACGCGGCGGATGTGAACCATGTCATGCATGAACGCTTGCCTTTTTCGATACGAAAATATGCTCTGTCATCACGAACGCTTACGCCGACCCACAAGCTGAATTTGAAGTATTGTCAGCATTTTTATTTCGCCTGTACGTTGTCATCGCATCACCGTTACTCGCGGCGACGCAGATCTTCGTGCTTGCCTTCTAGCGGTGCCGCGGCTCTCCCGACCCAAAATAAAAAAAGCTGCTCTACGCTCGAACCGCAAATTGGGGAAGTGGTAAAGAAATTAGCTTAGTACCGTCAGAAACACTCGTATGACAATAGGCATGCCCAGTGGAACTATGAAGAGAAAAAACAAGAGTGCATACTTTGAACTCGAAAAGTTTTTATTTCACCACATTAAATATATTGTTGCAATGCAGTGCTGGTTTCAAAGAATGCTATTTCCTCAGTCCCTGGCAAAATGGCAAGTTCACACTGAAAAGCAACAGTTTACGTGTACAAGAAGAAGTTCACAAATGGTAATAATAGTTTCTCTCGAGACCTAAGGTAAAGCAAACGGGCATGTCGCCTCAAACGTATAAGGCACATGAAAGCTGTAACTTTGAAAGCTACTACAGCTTTTTCATGTAAAAGCAGCTTCACACACTTGCAACAGCTTGTGACCTGTGGCTGACCAGTCAGTCACAAGAGGCTAAAATCGGTTTGAAGTCATTCCCTTCGTAAGCAGTTTGCAGGTGAGTGAAACAGCCTTAAAGTGTGACACCTTTCGCTGTAAACACCAATTGTAAACAATGAATAAACCTCTTCTGTTCTTACTTAAGTTGTACCATGTCGGAATTTTACATCACACTTGTGTGCCTGTGAAATTGTGTGTGCATGTGACAAAATGTGAAATTGAGCCCGAAACTGACACGGCTGCAAAATAATCAGTTTTAAGAACTCGTGTCAGATTCAAAATTGCACCCAAAAATCCTGGACACGGAGCAGACGTTTGATTGTATCTGTTCGGATGAGCAGCTGTGTTTTTCCTTTCATTAATCCAGACAGTTCGAATGGATGTAACCTCTGCTTTTGTACATAACATGTGGATATGAGCATAAACAACAGGGGAGGCACCCAGCATTAGCATCAGAAGAATGAAAACAGGTTAGAGAGAAGCTGGACTTAATTCTACTTGTTGGCTGATGAGTTCGTGGACGACATGAAGCGTGGAGTCTTCTGCCGCGCATGTCAACCCTCTGTGTACGCCCCTCTTTCAACGTCTTTTTTTTTTGACTCCGCTTTTGAGGAGACTTGGGGCTAAGGACGTTGGCAACAGGTCACCGGTTCACACTCGACAAGTGCTTCTGGCGAGTCTGTGCCCAACTACATTGCTGTGCTGCGTCGTGTCGCTCAGCACTGCGAGTAGACATAGTTTTCGTACAAGTTTTGTGACCGGTTAGTTTGTAGGGTGTGTGAGGAAGCCATTTAGCGACACCTTCTAGCCACACCAGATCTCGCTTTTGCTAGGGCTCAACAACTTGTGATTGCTGTGGAGTGTGCCACAAACGGAAAACCCCACATTTCCGGGCTCCAGAGACGGGAGAGGTTCGCCACATGGACAAACACCACCTACACAAGGCATGAAACGGTTCATCAATGCCAAGCCACAGGACTGGCGCACGGAAGACATCTCCTAGTACAGCTAGAAAATGTTGCGCACGGTGCAAGTAGCTATAATTCTGAACACGCCATTTCTGTGGTGGAAAGGGACACATCATACATGCATGCCGTCAGTAGTTGGCCGAATCCCAGCACCAAGCTCCGGAAGTGGAATCCAGTCATCATCTGGATCATTGAACCAAGGCAGAAATCTTCGAAGTTCAAGTAAATGAAATCTTCATCTGCATAGATGGTGAGGCTTGGTCAACAATTGTTCTAAAGAGATAGTGTCGGCTTGGAACGGCAGCATAGACTTAAACCTAAACAGCTCTCCGGACGTATTCACAATGTAAGTTGGTGGTTCTGGGAAATATCAATTTTTCCATGCGGTTCAAGGGAAAGGAGCGTGAGCCATTGTTGCTGACCGTGAAAAGACGTGGAGCAAGCCTGCTTGAAAGAAACCGGTTTGAAGTATTCGATAAGCTACGTGATGCGTGAGCAACAGACCTTTCCAGAAACATGTGGTACCCCCAGCGTCTACTTTATGCACTGCGACGTCCAGATGTATGGCACGAGGAATTGTCCCAGAAGCGAAGACGGAGTTGATGTTTGTTTAACAGTTTGTGATTTCAGAACACGGAGGGGGCAGAGGGAGAGCAAAACAGAGGGTGTGATAACTTTTTTTTTACCACTCACTCAATTTTTAGCATTTTCTGAGCTCCTAATGATAAGAAAGACTGAATCGTGCTAGTTCTACGATATACAAAGTGTTAGAGCCGGCACGAGCGTACATCCGAAGAGCCCCACAATTCCCCCGGTTGCAAGGTCTCCTGGGATTTTCCGGAAAGGTCTATTGCGCATTCAGAAAGGGAGAGAGGGGAGGGGTCCAAGAAGATGACAAATTAAAACACTCTTTGTCGACACAACACAAAGCACTACTATTTAAGGTGTCCTTCAATTAGCCGAGCCACTCCCACAGACTCGAGGACTGCCAAAAGAATTTCCAAGGGTCTTCGAGTAAGGACTTGGCGGACCCACATACATTCACACTAAATCTAAACTTCAAACCCAAGTACCACAAGCCTCGACTTGTTCCTTTGGCCCATGAGTCAAAGGAGTAGTACACCATCACGCAACTCGTGCAACAAGGAATTTTGCCTTGGTGCGGAAATCTGCATGGGCTACGCCAGTTGTACCTGTGGGGAAGTCAAACGGCGTGATATGGCTATGTGAATGTTATAAACGCATCATTAATCCAGTCTTGAAACAGAAGTCGTAACCACTGCCAACAGCACAGCAAATGTTGACTCAACTAGTAGCATAGTCCTTTATTACGCTTTTGGTCACAAAACTTCTCTGCAACGCTATAGAAGGGCTTGGTATGCGACTACGTGTGACACTGGGGTTGACAAGGAGCCTGAAAGATGCAAATCTAGCCAGCACCACTGGGAACTGGGCTATTGTAGTTCCGAACCCACTCTGAATGAGCCACCTTTAGATGACGGTGATGCATCAATGCACTGAGAGCATTTCTGACAAGTCTAAGTGTCTTTGGCTCTGTACGCTGAGTCAACTGATCAAACTTTAAAACCTTGATTGCAGGTGCTATTTGTAAACAGTGTGATAGCCGCGTCCCACTAGAGCGACAAACAGCAACGAACGACAGCGACACACGACAACGAACGACAGACTACACCGACAGACAGCCTGTTTGTCGGAGTCCGCCGTCCCACCTGGGCGGACACGACGCAGAACACGGGGGCAAGGAAACTTGTTTCCTAGTGGGACTGGAGTTGTCAACAAAACACTTCAAAATACACAGACAAACAAAGTCTGGTGACGCGGTTTTCGTGTTTTGCTCTTTGGGCATAAAACGCGCCGACAAACACGGTGAAAGGCGCGACGATTACTTTATTTCTTGATTAAATCTTCAGCTTCTCATCGTTTGCTGTTGGCGACTTTCCGTAAACAGTGCTGACAATCGACACCAAACTTTTTCCAAACTAGAAATACCTGAATCGTTCCTTTTGTGGGCCGTTCGAGGCATTCTAGGTGAGCGCCACGGAGTTTCACGCTGATTTTGAGGATGTTTATAACTTTATATTCGAATGATCGAGGGAAAGCGCTCCTTTGTGGACAATACGGCATCCCGATTATCACAGAACGTGATGACAAGTCTCTCGTCTGCCGGAGTGGCTTGCCGCGGAACGTCGTGTCCTACTTCGTGATAAGCGGTCTTACTTTGGTTGGTCCTCGCACATGGGTGTATCCATCCTGATGCAAGGGCGTAGACTTCGGCGTCTTGAAGCACCACCTTGCACACCAAGTTTTCACGAGCAAAACCAGCCAGAGCAAATTCGCTTTTGCAACACGACCGCCCGGCACCAGCCAGCAAGCCTCGCCCGTGACTACTACATGCAACCGAGGGACCGGAACTGCGGGGCCGGGAATGAGGAGTGGCAGTGGCCACCAAGGGCTTCTCGTTCCGGGAGGAAGGGTAGAAGG